AGGAAAAATTGAATGAGCGATTGGCGAAGCTTTCAAAGGGTGTTGCAGTCCTGAAAGTAGGTGGCGCAAGTGAAGTAGAGGTAAACGAAAAGAAAGATCGTGTTACGGATGCCTTGAATGCTACTAGAGCAGCTGTTGAAGAAGGTATTGTACCAGGTGGAGGTGTTGCTCTCCTTCGCGCTTTGAGAGCTATCGAAAATATAAAAGGAGAGAATAATGATCAAGATAAAGGTTATTTTTCTGCGTTTCATTATGTTTAGTCTCTGCTGTTGAATTGTTTAAATTTTTATAAAAAAATTCAGTGTAATTGGTTAAGGTATCCGAATAGTGCAAAAAGCAGCACGTGAGCCAATCATGACAATTGTGAGGAACGCAGGTGTTGACCCATCTTCTGTTGTGGAAAAAGTACTCGCCAACAGCGAATTGTCGTTTGGATATGATGCCATGAATGATGTTTTTGTGGATATGTTCAAAGCCGGTATCATTGATCCCACAAAGGTCGTTCGGACTGCTCTTCAGGTAATTTTTCTCTACTCATTATATATTTCAATTTTTTTCCAAATAATATGTAGGTTTCCATCGGCTTTGTTTTTGTCAAAGAATTCTTGTTACAATGGTCTCAGTAACAACAGCTGAACAGTGTCAAGGCAAGACTAGACTGTTGCGAAAAGTATTTTATCAGCTTGTTAGAACGGTTAGGAGAATCACTGACTGACTGAGTGGCTCTTGTATTTAGCTCTGAAATGGTCAGGCAGATATATGATAATGTGTGTGTAAGTACACTTTCGTTGCTGGATTAGGTATTTTAAAAAGTAAAACAGTTGATTTTTTAGGACGCGGCTGGCGTTGCATCGTTATTGGCTACAACGGAATGCGTAGTGACGGAAATGCCGAAAGAGGAGCCTCAGATGGCAGCTGGAATGGGTGGAGGTATGGGTGGCGGTATGGGAGGGATGTACTAATCCTCGGACGGGTGTTGTTTTTTTTTTTCAGATTATGCCTCTCAGTTTGATGTTTAATTATTACATTATGATATGTTGTTTGTTTTGGGAGGGGCTTAAGTATTGCGATGATGAATAAGTTTTAACCCTGTATTTCCGCCGGAATATTCGAAATATTGAAGTTATAAGCCTGAAAGCCAGAATTAGCCCCCAATTTCGTTATTTTGTTGATTTGGATGAATGCATATGATGTTTTTGATACATACTGATTTTTTTTGTTTAATTAATTACACGGTCTTTTATACTTTTATTTGGAAATCAATTTTTCATAAACTCGTATTCCGTAATAGTTGTGTTCACATTTTCAACGCATCTCAAAATAATTCCTCAGGCTTAAACTGTTAAGTGATAGCTCCATTTCCGTCGTTATTTTTATATATCAAATTTGTAAGAACTTGGCTATGTTGTAGAGAATTTCATCGTCCAAACATTTATTCACCTATGATTTCTCTTGCAGAGATGAAGGTGGAAACATCTGTTGAAGTGATCTGTATAAAAGTGTAAAAGAATTCGATGTAAAAGTGAAGGAATTAGATAGTGAAACTTCCGTTTTTCAACCATATGTGGGAATGACTGGTTCATAGTACAGCGAAGATGAGTAAAGTTCATCTGATTCTTTGCACGCTCAGTTTTTGCAGGAGCTGGTGTATAATGGGGTGTCACCTTGTTAAAGCAAACTAAGATTGATGAGACAGTAGGATGGAAACATTTGATAATAGTAAAGAATCTCGTCATGAAATTGTTGAGTAAATATTTGTTAGGCGTGGATCGAAGTAACAAGCATAGTAATTGAATACGTGGTGTAATACATTCGTTGTATTGTGGTATTTGTTGTTTATTCGTAATAGGACATTATAACTTGGCAGCAAAATATCATTAACTTCAATTAACTTTCCTTTTTCATAACATTTGATTACATTATTTTTTGGAAATTTTTGATGAGTGGAGGAGTTTCTCGTTTGAATTGGTGGCTTAAAATCAGTTCACCGCAATAATTAGTGGAGTTTTTTTTTCATAACTATAGGACATCACATTGAAGGGTATTTTTGTGTTAATTCAATGGAAATAAGTGAACATAATCATTATGCAAATAAGTTATAATGCCGAAAAGTTCATGTGTTGTCTTTCCTAAATGTCATTCGTTTCACATAAAATTTGTTTCAGAAATGACTTCAGAAATATATGTGATCTTTGCAATTGTGTCGATTTCTCTCTATGTATCACTCAAAATATTAAAACGTGGTAGTGATACGAGTAATTGTTTCCTGAAAATGGTTTGTACCGGTAAATCTATCGATCCACCGCTATCCACTGATCAAATTCACAAAACTTTAAGGGATAAGTATGTTTTAACATTTTTGACATTTTTTGACATTTTTTTTTTGTAATCAAAGTCACATTATATCATATTAAATCATTTCTATTCCGATCAAAATTTTTAAATTAGAATAACACTTCATTGTGACACTTCCACATATCTTTACGTTTTGTATCAAATATTGCATTGCAGTTATGTCAAAGAGAAGTTATTATTTTCAGATTTAATCCATTAATTGTTGATGAAAAGTGGGATGTGATTGTAATTGGATCGGGTTTGTCAGGATTAACAGTAGCAAGAGTGCTAACAGCTGCAGGTCGTAAAGTGCTTGTGCTGGAACAACATGATCGAGCTGGTGGCTCATGCCATACTTTTAAACTTAACAATTATGAATTTGATGTTGGCCAGTTTTTCTATCCTTTCAAATTTTATTGCATTCATTAGTAGGCTTCTTAAATAGACATATTAAGGGATTTGTAAAAAATATTCAGCTCTGTTTTTGTGTTTCGAGACAAGCTGTTATCTCCCATCCTTGTGACCTTGTGAGCTTTATCTTTAAAAATTTCCTCTCTTCCTTTTATGAGCTTGTCTCGAAACACAAGACGGTTTCAGCAATTTCGGGATATCGATATCCGACTTATGAAAATCAAATTGCAGAAATTATGGATATATTACATTTTCGTCTTTCAGTTTTTCATTTCTTGATGAGAATTTCAGGTTTGCACTACGTGCAAGATATGTATTCTGGAAAGGAACTGTATCGAATTTGTTCAGCCATTACAGATTCACAAGTTCAATGGCAAAAAATGGATGAACCATTCGATACTGTACATTTATCTTCCTGAAGTTATTTAATTAAAGCCTTCAAGACTAATTAAAAATCCAAAAGACAATGTCAATTTATTATTTTAAAGGTAATAATTGGAAAACGGTACTATGGTCGAACGTCTGGAGACACTATGCATTTTCGTGATCAATTAAAATTCTGGTTTTCAAACGAAGCAGATCGTATCGAAAATTATTTCGATTATGTTCTAGTGAGTTTCAAGTTTGCAAACTAATGGTTGAGAAAAAGGAAAAAAGGAATAAAAAGAGGGAAAGAAGAAAATTTTGCTTAAAATATGGAGTTGATGGATAACTTCCTAACTTGGACTCTATTCGGGAGATTAATTGAATAAGTGCTAGTGCTGAGGACATCCATTTTTGTTAATGGAAGATGTTTTTTTTTGTAAATAAAAATTGATCAAATTAAGTAGATATGAAAAGTTAATTTTAACTTCAGAAATGTCTTAATATCAATTTTTGGTGGCTAATTGGTGTAAAATTCATACCGCTGTTCATTGTCCGCTTACTATCCAAATTCAATTTCATCAATTTCTTCACCAAATTATTCCAATATTGTGAACTGAACCTGTTGGATGTTATGAAGAATTATGGGCTTAGTGCGGAAGTGAGAGCTGTTATCAATTATTATTTTGTTAATTATGGTAAGTGTAAGTTCTTAAATAGAGCAAATTTATTCTGTGTTATTTTTATTATTTTTTGAAATAATTAAAAATTTTTGATACCGTAACTGCTCTTATTTGCTTGATCTTATTTTACTTTACATCATTGTTACTTGTGCTACTTGTTACGGTCCTTCTATCTTCTTATACCTGGACTTTCTGAATTTTTTCTAATTTTTTGAATTTTGTTACCTAACTGTTTCAAATTTCTTCTAATCTTTTTTTCATTCAAAGGCATATCAAATAATGGACATTTGCTTGATATGTTTTTGAACGACTATTTCCGCATTTTTCGGTTTATATAAAACTTGTTGAGTAATATATTATGCTGTAAGAATTGTGCAGAGATTATGCAATCGTCTTCACAAGCTGAAAAAGTGTCAAGAATGGATGTCCAGCTGTTTAATGATTCGATATAAAGGAATTAAAATGGAATATGCTTGACTCAATCCTTGAAGTCAAGTTTATCTTCTGTTTTCAGGTGTTCCACCCAATCGTGCATCATTCCTTCAACATCATCTATTTCTTATGGAAAATGGATATTATCCCATCGGTGGTGCAACATTATTTATAGCTAGCATCATTCGTTCCATTGAAAAATTTGGTGGAAAAGTGATTGTAGAAGCGGATGTGGAACAAATAGTGTTTAATAATGGAAGGGTTAATGGTTATTAAGTTTGAAATTACTTTACAAGCTTCCTTTTTTCCAGAAGATTATGTTTACGTTTTGTAGGTGATTTTAGTAAGATTCTATTTTTACCGATGTTCTTTACTAACTGCCCCTACATATTTCTGTGAGTACAAAAACAAAATTTTTTAATTTGATAAAGCTGTATTACTGAACATTCAAATGTGAAATAAATTCAGCAGTTCAGTCCATACTATTCTATACTTGATGTATGACTTACACTGGTTATAATTCCTTTGTACATTTCTAAATTTTCGAATTTTAGGAGTAAAAGTGAAACATGGCTCTTCTGAATATTTCATCCAAGCAGCACTGGTTGTTTCAACAGCTCCAATTATTAAAACATTCAATGAGCTAATATCTCAAAATATCACTAGAAACTCAAGTAAGTTTTTGGACAGCAAAATAATATTCCTTTGATGAAAATGAAATTTCTCATATTTTTGCAGTTATGTTTAAAATGGTTAATCAACTTAATTCATTGAATACCGTGCCAATTGGTGGATTTCAAGCATATATTGGTTTGTCTGGAACGCAAAACAGTCTCCAATTACCATCGAATAATTTTTTTTGGTACAAGAACAATAATCCCTATGAGTTTGATCATTACTTAAGGTTAATTATTTTGATGCTTCAAAACTATCATTTCTTACAAATTGTCATAACAATATTAATCATGTCGACATTGTTAATGTATTTATCACATACGGTTCTGTTCATTGTGGAATACAAAAACAATGGAGATAATCTTTGAAGAGATATGCTTATCTCAAAACATTTTTATGACGAAATTCTCTGCTAAATAATGTATAAAACAGAATTTCCTCTCTCTTAATTCGACTGTTGAACTTTACTGATGACGTTTTAGAAATATGACTGAAATTTTAGTTTGTCATCCTCAGAAGCAGCAGAGTATGGTTGTCCACCGCAAATTTTTATTTGCTTCCCATCAGCCAAAGATCCGACGTGGGATGAACGAAATCCTGGTATCCTTATTGAATTATATCACGTTTTTAAATAGTTTTAAAGTGGAATTATTATTGAAAAATTATCGATTTAGAAATTTGGACACTGTGCGCATAATTTAGGATAGCCGTTGTTAACTACTGGAATCGTATGTTGACGATAAGGATATGAGTAAATTTATTTTCCGAATGCTTCCTTTTTTTCCTAGATAGCAACATTTCTAGGCACTTCGACATGTCAATTAATTTCCTTAGCAAATCCTGCTTGGTTCGAAGAATTTAAAGATACATCTAAAAAGAAATCCATAAAACGATTGAATCGAGCAGAGTACATTGAATTAAAACATTTAATTGGTGAACTGATAGTAAATCAGTTCTTGATACTGTTTCCAAATCTTGAATCACATGTAAGTTCAAAATTTTTTTAAAAAAAAGAAATTGACATAATTTAATAAATGTAATTGTCGAATTGCAGTTTTTTTCAAAGAAATGGGGATGTTAGAGGAGAACTTTCTGATCAAAATAATAATTCTATTCTGATCAAATTTTTTTGCAATTGATAAGAAGAAGTTGTTTGTAATTTCCTTGTAGATAGGAAGAGATTGAATTGGATATTAAATTCTGAAATTTTATCTTGCAGATAGCATATGTTGATTTTTCAACTCCATTAACTCAACAATATTATATGCAAAATGTTCATGGCGAATATTATTCATTAACACAACAAATTGATCGATTTAATTTCAAATTTTGGAGTGAATTAAGGTGCAAGACAGATTTGCCCGGTCTTTACCTGTCAGGTGGATTTATATAATAACCCTTTTCTCATTGTTCCTTAATTTTTGTTACAGGTTGAAAATTTAATTGTATGAATGAGTGTCTATTAATTATGATTGAACAGCTATTTTTAAATTCTTTAATTAATGGTTTTTATAAAGTTTTACGTTTATATATCGATTCTGCCTGTATTCTTATCTTTTTGGATTTTCGACTGAGCATATCCATCAAAACTTGTCCCACCTATAACCAATTCCATTCTTTTCAGGTTTTTTTTAATTGATCTATGTATAATTTTGAAAATTATCTTTTTCTTTCATAGATGTTATGGCTAAAGTGAAAGTTATTTTAGAAAAATTAGATCCGTAATAAAATATTTTTAAAAAATTGGAAAAAAAAAGACCTTTTAGGACAAGATGTTCTTTTCTGTGGTATTGCAAGTGTGTTACACAGTGCTTTATTGACAGCTGGGAATATATTGAAACGTAATTTAGTGCAAGATCTAAAGGAAGCTTACAACAAACAAACGGGTTGTGATCGAAACTAATGATATTTTGCAAATTGGTGATAAATGAATTTTAAATTATCATTGTGTTCATTTCTCCTAGATTTTTGTGACAAAATAAAAAATTTGCATAATTTTGAAAATTCAGAGGACGGCATTTTCTCATCACGTCATTTCGAAGAGACATTTATATGATTTACCTTACCAGTAAATTGGATAAATGGATGAAATAGGTATTCACATTTATTTACATTTCTTTTTGTAGCTATTCTTTTCAGTCAAATTCAAAGTGTGCATTTATCAATTTGTATAAAAGCTAAAACTAAAGTTATGTAAAGCAGTTTTGTTATGCACAAGATAGAGATACAAAGATTATTTAACAAATTGTTTAATAAATGAAAGAAGCGAATAAATAATATTATGCATTTCTTCAAATTAGATCTCATGAATATTCAGTTCACAATTTATCAAGCCATTTTCATTAATATTCAAGCACTAAATAGGAAGGAAAAAAATTAGTTGAAAATCTGATTTATTAGTCGGTTAAATTTCCCTAACACTGTATATATCGGGTGACATCAACTGATCACGAAGTTATTGCGAGACAAAAAAAAGGAGGTCTTATCTCACCTCGTGGCACCAAATAAATTGTCGTGAAAGTTTTTGGGTTGAATAATTTTTTGTTTCAAAGGCGATTATTATTGCAAAGATTTATTCTTCGTAGAAGACTGATGATAATACTATATGAATTTGGATATAATATTATCATCAATCTTCTGCACTAAGGTTAACTCAGATCATGAAACTGCCGGGTTATTTAATGGGTACTTAAAAGAAATGTAGGAATTAGTAAATTAATGAATAGTCATTTCTCAAAACTATCGCCAACAAATTAAATCATTTAAAGCGATCTAAGTGGGAGAAAATAATAAAATATTTTGCATTTGGTTGATAGATTAGTCATGTGCTTCAGCATTTGCAGTGTAAAGTATTCGAGATGAATGTGCGTACATTTGCGCTTCTCTGTAACGATTCTCTCTTTCTGCCTCTCCCTTTCAAGTATTTTCTTTAAATATTGTTTCATTTCACTTTAAATATTCGTTTACTCCCTCAGCAATAACATTGACCCTCCTTTCTCTGATGATTCATTATCTGAAATGATCAAAATAATTTCAAGAAATGATATAATTTAGTCAATCACTTCAATATTACAGTTTTTTTTTTGTAATTATTTTCAGATATTGAAGGATTAATTATGCTTCGTTTTCAACTTTTATTACTGCTAACTATTTCATCCTTTGCTTACGGTTTATTTGGGCGAAAGAAGAATGTAACGGTAGTGGGTGAATTAAATTGTGGTCGAAATTATTATTCCAACGTAAAAGTTGAACTTTGGGAGGCAGACACTGGTTGGTTTTTGACTTCATCAAAGAGATTAAGATTTTGTTTCTTTCAATAATAATATTTGAAAATTTTTGCTTTTCAGTGGATCGGGATGATAAATTAAATACAACATATACGAACGAATCGGGCCAATTCAAGATATTTGGCCAGGCAAGAGAAATATTAAATATCGAGCCCTATTTAAAAGTACATCACTTCTGTCAGCATGGAACTCATGATGTGGTAAAATTTGAAGTTATAACATTACATTCATCCGTCTAAAATCCTAACATAACTTATATGAGTTTTAATCTAACAAATGTCACCTATTGTCAGTAATTTAAAATTCTAAATTTTACACAATTTGTAATTTTAAAATTTCCATTTTATTCCAATTCTAATTTTAATTTTAGCGATGCGAAATAACTGATCGTTTCGATGTGCCAAAACAATACCAAGGCAAACTGTACAATCTAGGCCTAGTCGATTTATCCACTGCAACTAAAAAGCGAAAAAAAAAGTGCCACTGAAAAAAATTTGGAAACAATTATTTTTTTAAATAAACAAAAACAAAAATAAAAGTAAAGGTCAAGTTATGCTATACTATTTCGTTTCCATGCTAATATTTTTTCCAAAGTTTTGACCTCTTTTTGCTTAATCTCCTTATTGTTATAAAATTGATATAAAAGAAAGGTGCAGGCACACAATATTTCTTCTGAAACCATTAATAACCGGCGTTTATTGATGTCCACTTTGAAGGGTTCATTTTTGTGTAGAAATTGAAATTGAGAAATTTCCTAACAAAGATACCGAGGAACGGAATTCGGAATATTCTATGTACATTAATGGGCATTGATTGATTGTTCAGTCTGGAAATGTCAGAGATCAAAAAGATTGGTAACGAAGGTATTATAATATTTCAGAGAGAGTCTGAAAATCACTAAATTGATTTTAGATTTACATGATTTAGTTCAGGAGATCTAACATATTATTTAAGTATTAGTATGTTCGTTATAAAACTAACAAGGTCAGCTCATATATAGTAAAAGTAATTCTTGTAGCTTATTCTCGATCGGACAAAAGTTAGGAGGGGCTCTCGGATGATCTCTGATAGCTGCTGCTTTGTTTATTGCTAATATTAATTTGAAAATTACTTCAACAATTGAATTGTGTCTGTAAGTATTGATAATAATAAATATTGTTTTCATAGAATCGCAAAGATAATTATTTATTCAGAAAAAATGATCGTAATAAGAATTTCCGTGTATATAGTTTTTTTTTTCAGATTTTAGAGAGAAAAAGAGATCGAACTACATCTATCGGTATATCAGATTATCAGTTATTAATTATCTTTGAAGAGAGAAAAGCTTTAATTCAAAAATATTTATGTCAGATTGCTTTTTGGACTTTTAATCGTAGTGATAAATTAAATACGACATGTGTTCATTTATTTGAAGAAAGGAAAATTTTAAGCATTAAATTTTATTCACATTTACGATTGTTTACAATGAAGGTCAACGAACGACTCGGTGCATTCATTTTGGATATATAAAGTATTTGCTTCTAAATTAATTAACTTCATGATTGAACTTATATTTTATCTCAGCCTGGAAATAAATTTGGTCAATTTCAAGTTTATGCTCAGATCTTTCTCAATATAAAATCTCAGAGCATTTCTCTTTTTTTTTTGAACCACTCAATGTTTCATTTTATTCTAAGATATTGAAGTTGAATTTTTTTAAAACGATTCTTTGTGATATATATATATACACACATCTTTATATTTTCAAACATATAAGTGGGAAGTAAACGTAACAAAATATATTGTTTTCAGGAAAATGTTCGTCTATCATCAATTATAATTTAACACAGGCTGACACCACCTGACATACTCATATGTTACGAAAAAACACTTTCTGAATTTTAGTAAATAATTTAAAACATTATTGATTTCAATAGTCTTACTGCAAAATGAAATAATTCCATCAAATATATTTATTATTTGTTGAGATATTTCTGAAAATTATATTTGCTACTGCTATTGCTACTGCAATTACTGCAAGATAATAATGTTTTTCAAAAGTGGTCGTTAGTTTTACAACTTTTATGTTTTATGAGTAAACATTTTTACAAAGTATCTTTTTGTAATGGTAAATGGGAAGAGATTGAAGGAAAATAAACCGAAAATATTTTGTTTGCAATAAAAGAGTGCCCGCCTTTGAAATCAATTTTCATTGCCTGCCTTCATTGAAATTTCAGATTGCACGCATCTGTTTGAGAAATTCTTTTTTGTTCTAAATTGTTGTGAAAATGAAAGTTTTGAAAAATAAATTGAAAAAAGTTGGCAAAAGATTCTATTTAACTTTTCTTTATCATTTTTCTTCAACAAATTTTCGGCATTTAATTACTCAGTCTTTTCATATTTTGAAATTATTTAAAAAGATGCTGCAACTCTAACAAAATTTATAAAAATTTTTTTAATTTTAATGAATTTTCCAATGTGTTTTGTATAAAATCACTTCACTGACTAATGTTTAAATTAGGCGATTTTCAATTTGATTTTCAAACAACTTGTTAATCAGATTGGTACTGTATTTGTTACAGGGATGCATAATTAAATGTGATATTTTTATTAGAAAGTAATACACTTATAATAATGTTAATAATCGATGATTACGGTTATTATCGCACCAACACTGATAAGTAATGATAGCAAGGATAATGACAGCAGTGATAATTGTAGTTGGTGACTAACGATGACAACAAATAATGGTGATATGTGTTTTGTACAGACCAGTTTTACATTTCAAATAATAAAGCGCAAATTTCATTTTATCCTTGAAAGATAAAAAAGATATATGAATGGATGAGCGATACGAGTTTTTCTTTTAGACATTTTCTACTAACCACAATGAATTGTACTGAGTTATTTTTTAGATAGCAATAAAGAATTCAAAAGAAATCGTTAATGGAATATTCAAGAGCTATTTTTGAAACTAGAATTTTAAACAGATTTTAGCAGCATAGCTTTATGATGGAATGAAAAGACAAAAAAGTTTCCTGAAAACTTGAAAATTGAAATTAGCCAACTTTTAAATTCATATTAATTCTATTCTCTTCGATATGGATGCTTTTGCTTACTTCTTCGAGCCTTAATCATAAATATGGAAAAAAATATTTCAGTGCAACATGAAAAAAAAATTAAAGTCTGAGTCATCAAACATTCAACCACCGTTCATGATGAGTTAAATCAAAATATTTCGAATTAGTCAAATGTGAAGAATTGCTTAAAAGTCGCTATAACTAAATTACTTTTTCTAGGACGGCAAATTTGAGTCTAACATAAATTTCTAACAATTTCTTATTTGCATAAAACTGAAACTAAATTTTTTCAGAATTTCATACCATTTCATGACTAACACCAATCGATTTCCGAATTATTTCTTTCATATTCACCTCCATAAAAATTATTTCCATTCATTTCTCGAACAACTTTCTCATTTGCAGCAATGGTCTTTTGGCAGATATTTCTACTGCTCGGATGTGTTGCACTTTATGTAAATGCAGGCGTTGTTGGTTCAATTCAGAGTGTCACTGTGACCGGTCAAGTCGGCTGTGGCAACAAATCAGTACGTGATGTCGAAATTGAACTGTGGGAAGAAGATGTCGATAAGTTTCATTTCACTTATATTTATTACTTCTGAAATTTTCATATATATACAAAAAAATACCAAAAGATAAGTGGTTCTATTGATATGTCTGTTGATCACAGAAATAAAACTCTTCTAATTACATTCAATATTTCTTTATTGTTTTTAAATATACTAAATTCGTTCGAAATATTCGAGTTATTTTAGGTAGTTTTGATGATCTATTAAATACTACTATATCTGATGCTAAAGGAGCTTTTAAAATATATGGTCAAGATAAGGAAATAGCCGCAATTCAACCTTACCTGCTCATTAAACATAGCTGCGATAATGGCCGTGTCAATCCGGTCACTCTTCGTTTTCTTTTTTGAATTTTAAACAGAGCATTTTTTTTTTAATATTTTTAACCTTTAAACAAATGATAAGCACCTGACTTTTATCAATTCTGTTGGTTTTGAACTTTTTGTTTTCGCTACATTTCAAAAGACAACAAATACCATTTTGACTTTTTTTGAAGTACAAAAATGAAAGAAATGTAAAAAAATTCCTTTATTCTCCTCATGCAATATGAATACTTCTATTTCTTAATAACACTGTTATCACGAACGCTTATCTTATTATCACTACTATTCAGAAATGCACAATCAGTGATGAACATCCAATTCCAAAGGAATATATTGATAAAACATACGATATGCATATTATAAGCCTGAGTATTCCCGGGAGGAATCACAAGAAGAAGTGCAGCAACGAATGATCAATGATTTCAATAATCGTTAATTAAGACAATAAGAAAAATTTTTATTTTTTTTCTTTAAAGTTAATATTGAATATTATTGTTCATTTAATTATTAATAAAACGTTTTTTGTAAGCAATTTTTGGACTTAATTCTGCTTTGCGGAAGAAATTATCCTCAATTATGTTTTTGAAGTTTTTACGACTTTTTTCTTTTGTTGTTTTTGTTTCTACAATTCATTATTTCTCCTCTCAGTTAACGAATGGGATTTGACTAATGAGTATTTGATGAGTTGAATTTGACCAATAATTATTTAATTATTTAATAAGTCCGACCGAACCAACGATTATGTTGCTGAGCTTCATTTAAATAGTGAATTAGTTAAATTTAGCTAACAATCATGTACCTAAATTTTAAACATTGTATTTCTTCCTTTTCTACAATTGAACTTAAATTAATCACAAAATATTATCTTTCTTACAAAATTAGTGTTACAATAAAGATATAATATGATAGAATTATCAATTTTACATACGAAAAAAGAATAGCGATGATCATTAAGCCTTATTTCATCCTTTCTATATACAATAGTTGTTTTTAGTTGATAAATGAGTTCTGTACTAAAAGGATAAAATATTCAGTGTAGGAATTGTCATTGAGGTTGTAGAAATGAATTGAGTTAAACTTATCTTTGCGCCTGTGCGCTTATTGCCTTTTTTTAAATTACACTCTTTAAAACAGATTACTTTATTAGTTTTTTAGAGCTTATAAGAATAATTAGTGCGGTTAGTGCGGTCAATATTATTAGCTATCAAATCAGTGGATCACTTCATTGAGTTACTATCATTTCTCTTTGATCACATTAAAAAGATCTTCTTACTCTAATCTTCTTACTCTAGCTTTTACACATTTTCAATGATACCATCTCTAACAGGTTTATTTCATAATATATTTAATGTAGAATTAAAAAATAACAAATAGGGTCAGAGTTCAAAAAATTAATCAATTAGTCATCATTTTTATCGATGTTTATTAAATAATAGATGAGACAGTATGTCACTACATAGAACAAAAAATTCATGACGTTTCTTTTTTGTCTTTTCTTTCTCTCTCTTCTTCTCTCTTTAGGGAAATTTTTTGAAAAAAATATCTAAATAACAACTTTTTTCAACAAATTCGAAATTATTTAAATTTCACTTAAAATCTTTTAAATTACTAAGATTTCTCCAACAGAAGATCCTCATTTATGGGTATTAAATTTATGATTGGTACAATAGTTTATGAGTAGTACAATAGCAGCAGAAATTGTTCCAGACTAGAAAATAGATAACCAAAAATTTCAAAAATTGTCAAATCAATATGAGTTGAAAAAATTAGTGCTTGAATAACATTTTTCAATCAATTATTTTCAACTCTTTCTTTAAGAAAAGATGAAAAAATAAAGAATTACACTAAAATTTGTTTGGATCAGATTGTTATTAGGTTCTTCAGTCTCAAGTTTTAACTTCTCGTATCTTAGTTATTGAGTCTATTTTATTACTGCTTAATTTATTTGATTACTCAACAAAATTGATAACTTCGTTCTTCTTCCAAATGTATTTTTTTTCACAGAAGTTTAAAAATAACAAGTGATAAAACTTCCAGTTATGTTCATCAACTGTGTGATATTGTTGAGTATTGCGGTAGCCTCGACATTTGCGCTAGGAAGTCTAAAAAATATAACTGTCACAGGACAGATAGCATGCAGCGATCGGTCACAAAAAGATGTTGAAGTACAGCTGTGGGAACGTGATACAAGTTGATCTTTTTTTTTCATTTGCTTTAAAGTTTCTTAAAGTGGGGTTGTAATCGCTTCCTCGAGCCAGATTTCGAAGTTGAATTAATCAAATATAAAGTCATATCTTTTCTTTTTTTATGGACTAATATTTGCAACTAATAGCAACGGACTTACTTAATGGTATGTAATTTTAAATTGAATTTCTAGTGGATGGGGATGATTTGCTCAACACGACAAAGACTGATAATCGTGGACATTTTCGAGTGTATGGGGAGGAAAATGAAGTGAATAACATCGAACCGTACCTGATAATTGTACACAGTTGTGATAATGGTGTTGTTAATCCGGTAGTTTTAATTATTAGTTGACAAAAATAATAATTCATACAAGCGAATTCCTAATCCAATCCTTTAGAATCTGAACTTGCTTAACGTAAATCCTTTCGCTGATCGATATCAATTAATACGAATATCATATCCTTCATCATTATTATCAAATTATAGCATATTTGATAATATTTAATTACCTTATGTGATAATTTCGATTTCTAATAATAACATACCAACATATAAAACAGACATCATCATCGTTGAATTAACTTTTATTTCAAAAAAAGAAATGAAAAAATGTCTATTGTTTCGATATAAATTTTAATTCAATCTAATTCAAATTAAACTCATTTATATTCTTTCTTTCTTTAACAGAAATGTTCGATAAAGGATGAATACGAAGTTAAAAAGGAACATGTGGGTGGTGTGTACGATATGGGCATTGTGAGTTTGAATATCGTGAAGAAACGAAAAAGGAATTGTGTCTGAAAGAAACAGGAATGGAAGAAAATGAAAATTTCTTATACGATATATACATTTTCTTTTTGGCAACAATTTTTCATAATTTAAAAAGAATGAATGCTTCTAAATAAAATTCCACTAAATTTTGCTTTTGATATTTATCAGTTTTCCATTTAATTGAATAAATTTTTTAGATGATAATATGTAAAAAATTTTCTTTCAATTAATTTCTAATACAGAAACAAAATATTGCTTAAATATTTTAAACCTCTATGCTTTGATTTTATTTTGGTTAGTTTTATTTTTCCAAGAATACACTTTGAATCCATTCAATAAATCGTTGATTCATTGTACTCTTCATTCATACTCTATGCAATTTTCATATACTTCGCACTGCCAATTTAATTCGCTTTTTCCGAATGTTACGAGTTCCAAAGTACATGAGTTCGACAAGGATCATCCTTCATTTCTCTTGCCCTCTTCTAACCAGCAATTATTGATTCATCAAAATTTTGCTAGAAAGTACAGAAAAATATCCCAATTTAATTTAATATTTAAAAGGAACAAAAAACAGTCATATAAATTGGAAGTGAGACTTATCGAATAGTTTAATGGCTTTTATTTAGTTTAATTTACTGAGTCAAATTAATTTGAAACATTATTTCAATTAATCAAGAATACTATAATACAAATAGGCTTTTATAGCTATTTTTTAATATGAAATAATTGTATTATAAATTAACCAAGCAACAAATAATGATTGCTTAATTTCGGCACAAATCAATGACAGTTAAATCGAGCCAATCACGTTTAAAGAATTTCTCATTATCGTTTTTTTTCCGCTCTGTTCAAACAGGTTATTGACGATAACAAATATTGGAGTACATTTACCCATTTAACATTCAAACTGATTGCATTACGCAGCGATACGATGGCAATTCATTTCTATCCTTATTTTCTCTTCAATCTTTTCATCGATAATTGTTATGATAAAAATTGGAATATTTACAACATTTTGTCACAAAATTTATTTCATTTCACAATTGCTTTCCTATCAAAATTTTTTGCTCCTAATTATTCCTTTCAGCTTGCATGGCATTTGTTTTATAAGAAAAAAAAGAAATGAAATGGAGGGCATTTGTTGTGAATAATTATAAGAATCAAACTAAATTCATGGTCAAAATTCCTGCTAATTTTAGAAAAAATGGCATTCTTTAAATGAATTTTTTTCAAATGCTGAGATACAGTGGGTTCTATTTAAAAATCATTTACTTTAGATTAAAATCTCCCTTTATGCTTTATTAATTATAAATATTTTTCAAATAAACGGTTTATAGGTAAGCATAAGTAATCGAAACTCTCATCATTTCTAATTTAATATTGTAATTAATTGTTGACAGAGAGTTTGTAATTTTAACTGCTTCAAATTTAATTGATCATAGAAAATTATTGTCGATACAATAATGAAAGTATTAAGCGCATTCTCCATTCACTTAACATTACTTAATGAATCATATTACTTATTCTTATCTTTTTATCATTGTTGTAATTAATTCTGTAACATAACTGCTCGTTTACGGATATTATCAATTGTTTTTAAAGTTTAATAGAACCAATATTTCTATATTGCAAACTAAAAAATTTATAATTCTTATAAGCTAAATGCTGCATGCTATACTTTTTGTGTTATCACTTGCCGGATGTCTATCAATTCTAACTGCAATCTGTACTGTAAGTCATGTTACGGTGACTGGACAATTGGGTTGTGGTGATCGAGCATTAAAGAATGTGATAGTGGAATTACGTGAACATGATAGTCGTAAGTTTGTATTACTTATAATTAGAAATTTTATAGTAGTTGTTTAATGGATAAATTTTAAAGCAATTTTTAAATTTCAAATTATACATTTTTGCTATCACTCTATTAATTTGTAATTATTGCATGAAAATAATTATAAATAATATCAAAAAAAATTTCAGATCCATATTTTTATGCATTATTACATTTATTATAATTGTCTTGCAAAAAAAATTGAGTGAAATTTCAGTTAGTCCCGATGATTCGCTAAATAAAACTACAAGTAATAACAAAGGATATTTCTCGATCTACGGTGAGGAATGTGAAGTTGGTAGTATCGAACCGTATCTGCGAATTACCCATAACTGCGAGGATGGTATACTTTCTCAGGTAATTTTAAGAACTGGTGAATATCTAAAGCAAGTAAAAATCATTTAGCACAACTGTACATTGGAATGAGTCATCATAATTCAAATATGAAATGAGTCATCTGTTTCGATTTTGGTTCAACAAAGATTTTTGATGAAACGATCAAATGAGTTTAGTTCAGAGGAAGATGGAAATGCTGAAATAACAAAAACAAATGATTCTATTTTCCTCTGCAACATTTCAACTATTTATTATTATTATTGTTATTATTTTACTTTTATAGCATTGCGTCATAACGGACGATTTTCCGATTACAAGTGATTATATTGGTAAAACTTATAAAATGGGAATTGTTAGCTTAAATATTGCTCGAATGAATCATAGGAAAAATTGTCATTGAATTATTTTATTTTTCCTTAATTGTGAATTTTAATAGAATCATA